TCTCCAGCTGCCTGCTCAGCAGGAGAGTGTTCGCACGGTTGTCAGGAAAGGGTACCTAGGGGTGCAGCCCAGCAGGACAGAGGATGTCAGAGTCCTTCTGATTATGAGTGAGTTAATTTAAAAGTGAAGACCATGGTTCACCACTGCCCCTCGAGAACCACCCAGGAACTTCCAGTGGTTCCTGGCAGCAGCCTGCCTCATTCGTGGTAGGGTCTGCTTGAATTCCTGGTCTGCCCTTGTCAGGCTGCATCCAGGCAACTGGGAGCTTGATGGAGACCTTCCTGGTCTTATCACCCTGGCAGGTGGCTCTGGTAGAACCACCCGGGAGGGCACAGCATGACACATGGTGAGTCTCATAATCCATGGACCCTGGTGGGCATCCCGACATAGCCTCAGATGATCCAGCTTCCTTAGGCTTCAGTCTCATCATTCACAAAAGCAGGGCAGCTGAGTCCTGGAGCAGTTGTATGATTCAGTGAGCTACCCACAGGAAGCACCTTGTGCTACGGGCTTGAGGTCAGGACTCCCTCCCTCCATCACTGGCACCCTCGGATCTGCTCCTCTTGACACAGCAGAGGGCTACAGAGCACATTAAGTGGAGCAAACATCATGTTCTCATGCCCACTGGTTTTCTTTCCCATGCCAGACCCCTCAGTGTTTTAGTGGGAAATGAGCTGGGGGGCAGATTCAGGGCAGGTGCTTTGAGTTGAGTAGCTGGGTGTAAACTGAAGCAGGGAGGGTTTTTGCTGGACACTCTTCTAACTGGAAGGACCAGCACCTTCTGATGGAGGCTTTACCGGGGTACAGTCGGGGTGCAACCTCTGACACCTCTGAAAGTAGCGTTTAACCCTGCCCTGGCTTTCACTATGGCCCCTGGCACACTCCTGCTGTCTTGGCCATGCTTGGCCCTGTGAGGAGCACAGTGGTGACCCAGCACCTGCCCTTGGAGAGAGAGTGTGGCCCCAGGGAAGGCAGGCTCGAATCAAACAATCTCTCAGGACAATACGTTCTCACCAGCGCCAGCCCTGTGAGAAGGGAAAGGTGATCCTGATGACTAGATCTTCTGACCCCGTCTCTCTTGGGAGGCAGTCTTCTGAAAAGTCACCCTCTCCCCAGAGGAAGAGAGAAGTTGGTTGTCTGTGTTGCATTTGTTTCTGGTATAGTGATTCTCTGTGCTTGAGAAGTTTCCAGGCTAGAGTCCAGAGGGTCAGCCACACTGCAGAGTTCTCCCTCCTCTGCACCCTTCCCCCAGAGATGCAGGTGTTCGGAGCCTCAAGTTACTAAATTCACACTGCGAGTCTTGGGTGTGGTGCACAGGACCTAGACAGACCCAGAGACTGCCCAGTCCTGTGAAAATGATGGGCTGGAACGGTGTTGGCAACCCCTGCCAGCTTTCTCTGTGTCCTTCACGAAGAGAGGGTGGCCTGTCTGGGAGCCGCAGCGGCAAGCAGCAAGGCCTCTGGGAGGTGGGCTGGGTTTGCAGCTGATGCGCAAAGGGGAGGGTTGTTTTCCTCTCTTCTCTGTGCTCCCATGGTCCTTCAACTGTTGTGAAACCAGCTGATGTGACACTAAAGCTGTGAGCGGACCTCACTGTCCTCGTCTCGGGGCATTTATTCAGTGCCCACATTGTGCCTGTGCAGCCGTCCTGATGACATGGCGCAGGGCGAGGACAGGCCTGCACTGAGGCCCCCTCCCAGTGAGCTGCAGCGTGGCGCTAGCCTGCTGCCAACAGCTGCTCAGCTGGGAAGGAGGAACCAGGGGGCCTTCCCTTGGCCCAGCGAAGATTTAAGGTGAGTGTAGATGCATCCTTAGCCATATTTTATGTTCAAACTATTTCTTTTTTTTTTTTTCTTTTTTTTAAATTTTTTTTTTTTTTTTAAAGACAGGTTTCACCCTGTTGGTCAGGCTGGTCTTGAACTCCCAACCTCAGGTAATCCACCCGCCTTGGCCTCCAAAGTGCTTGGATTACAGGCGTGAGCCACTACGCCTGGCCCAAACAATGTCAAATGACATGCACTAGGTTACATATCATTGTTCATTAATAAGAAAGTAAATTAGGCTGGGCACAGTGGCTCACACCTGTAATCCCAGCACTTTGGGAGGCCGAGGTGGGTGGATCACGAAGTCAAGAGATCGAGACCATCCTGACCAATGCAGTGAAACCCCATCTCTACTAAAAATACCAAAAAAATTAGTTGGACATGGTGGGTCGCCTGTAGTCCCAGCTACTCGGGAGGCTGAGGCAGGAGAATCGCTTGAATCCGGAAGGCAGAAGTTGCAGTGAGCTGAGATCATGCCACTGCACTCCAGCCCACCGGAGTAAGACTCCATCTAAAAAAAAAAAAAAAAAAAGAAAGTAAATTAATGAAAACACAAACGTAAGACAAAAGGAATACCAGTGAAGTTAATGCTGAAAACTAATCAAAATCCAGAGGCCAAGCTTCCTGGGGCCCAGATTCTCAGACCTGCTCCTGCCCTCCGCCCCGCATGCCTGTATTCTGTGCTTTGGCATGGCATGCGCACTTCTCCTCCCCTTGAGAATAGGGAGCTTTTGTTATTTTATTTATTTATTTATTTTGTAGAGACAGGGTCTCCCTGTGGTTGCCCAGGATGGTCTCAAACTCCTGGGCTCAAATGATCCACCTGCTTCAGCCTCCCACAGTGCTGGGATCACAGATGCCAGAGCCACTGGGCCCAGCTGAGCACAGGGTCTTTCCTGTGTCACCTCTGTGTTCCCTACAACGTCTAGCAAGTGCATTGTAAGGAGAAGATAATCAAATAAGTTGTATTCTGGCGAATGAACGGGCAAGGCCGGGCTCACTGCCCTGCACTCCTTGCACTAAGCAGCCAGCTCTCTTTATTCCTGTGTCCACTGGCTGAGCCATAGGTGCTCAGTATTGTTCTCCGGGTGAGTGAATGAATGTGTCACTGAGCAAACTCAGCACAAATAATCAGCCTACAGTCACACAAGCAGCCAGGAGCAGAGCTGCTGTGGCAGAGTGGGGAGCTAGCCAACTGAAAAGAGGGGGTACAGCCCATAGGACTGCCCCACTTCTGACCCCAGTGGCGAATTCCAGAGTCTCCCAGAATCACCTGCAGGTTTGATAATTTCCTAGGACTCCCAGAGCTCACTGAAAGCTGTTGTACTCATGGTTGTAGCTTGTTACAGGGAAAGGGCACAGATGCCAGTGAGCCAAGGGAGGAAGGACACAGGGTGAGTCCAGGAGAGAACCAGACTCAGCTTCCGCTGTGCTCACTGTGGGGCCAGGATGGCTATACTCTGTTGTTAACCCATTTGTGACAATACTCCAGGAGTATGGCTCCCCTGAGACTCCGTGTTGAGTTTTTATTACACAGGCAGTGACTGATTAATTGATTGTCCACAGGCTTGATCTCAGTCTCCAGGTCACTGGATACCCTGTGACCCGAAGCCTCACCCTAATCAACTAGGCTGTGTGACATGACCCGAGGCCCCCGGCAGATTGTGACAGATGGTGACAGCCCTGTAGGCAGGGCATCCCAGGCGTGTCTATGTTACTTTCTTGAAGCCAAGGACAAGGACTGGGGTCCTCTCTTTGCAAGGCAAGATTCATCACCTGGCAGTGATGGCCCTGGCAGTGATGGCCCTGGCAGTGGCCCTCAGTGCCCACTGTGGTATATTCACTGGCCAACCCTCTCACACACAAGTGGGCTGCGGGTGAGCCTGCCTGGGCAGAGAGAGGACACACCCTCTCAGGAGGTTGGGCAGATGCCCCCTCCGTGCCTGATGCTTCTTGGATTTGGGGCTCTGTTGGGCCAGAGGTCGGGCCGTGGCTTTACTGTGAAAGCCGGATTTCCCCGGGTCTCATTGCAGGCAAGGCCTCTTCTGAAAAAGCTGCTTTGGGAATTACCAGGCCATGAAACACTCAGACACATCCCCATTTGCGCAGCGACGCTGGGGTTTTTGCCTGTGTTGGAGCCGTACAGGTTGCAGGGGCCCAGTTTTGTGCCTGTCCTGCCTCCCTCTGCGGTGCAGGGGTGAGGTACGCGGCTGCAGGGGTGGCCGGAGCCGGGAGCTGCAGTTTGGGTAGTGTCCGCGTGGCGTGTGCATTTTCGCACGTGTGCTGCTTCCTGTATTGGCCGCACAGTGCAGCGGCCGGCAAGAGCGACCTCGCTGGGGCTGCAGGTTTGCCTCCACCCCCTTTCCCCGTAGTCTCTGTCCTGTGGCTTTGCAGTGAGCGCTGCCCTCGCCATCATTTCCCGGTGTGCCCTCACAGTGTCCCGCTCAGGGGTTGGCACCTGGTGGGGTTCTGAGGAGTGCCAGGAAATGGAATGTCACCCCACCCCAGCACACGGGCACACGGGCCTTGATCGCCAGCCAGTTCAGTCCAGGCCTTTCAGGGCCCCCCTCCCCCCACGACGCCCACAGCGCTCCTGAGAGCCTTCTGACCTACTGCCGTCACGTAGAATTGAGTTCCTCTAACCAGACAGCCGGTCAGCACGAGAGAAGGCTTTCCATTCTTGATTCCCAGTCCTGGGTTTATAGCAGAGTTCGCTGGCCTGCTTGTGCCCTCGTGGCCTCTGTGAAACCGAAACCAGCGATCTCAGTGTTTGCTGAGTTGAAGCACCCTGAGGGATGGGCGGCCCCTTGATGGGCGGTTATGGTCGGGAACTTCCATGGGCTCCCTAAGGAGCTGTTCTGCCTGCTCCCCTCTGAGGGCAGAGGCTAGACCAGACCCACAGGCAGCCCTCAGGGGTCCCCTCCCTGCCCCATCCACCTGCAGAGAAGGGCTCCAGGTCAGTGAACAGGAGCATTCTTCCCTTTGTCCCCTTAGGTGGGCTTGGGTAGGTGGCTCCTCGTGCCCAGGTACCCTGTCCTGCTGATGGCACTCCTCCCTGCCGTCTCTCTCCGCCTGCTCAGCAGGTGCTTTGCCTGGGACACATTGCTTCTGATGGTGGCCCTTCCCCTTCTCAGTTTTCCTTCATTCCCTCACTCTGGCTGTGTGTTTCTTTCCTCACAGCAGTTCCGAGTCTGAGATGGAGGAGGAAGAGGAGGAGGAGGAGGAGGAGGAGGAGGCTTGCCTGCCCCCCTCTGACTTGGGCGGCGTTCCGTGGAAGGAGGCTGTGCGGATCCACGCCCTTCTGAAAGGGAAGAGTGAAGAGGAGTTAGAGGCCTCGAAAAGCTTTGGGCCTGGGAATGAAGAGGAGGAGGAGGAAGAGGAGGAGGAGGAGGACGACTATGACGAGGAGGAGGAGGAGTCCAGTGAAGGTCAGAACAAAACCTGGGCTCCTTACTGTGCCCCACCCCAAAGTTCCATGCGTGAGTGCAACAAGTTTCTGGGGCTGACATCACGTGGACGTACCACCTGCACAGCCCGGGGACCACCCTCCTGACCTTAGACATGGGGCAGAGGGGGCTACACCCCTGCACAGCCCGGGGACCACCGTCCTGACCTTAGACATGGGGCAGAGGGGGCTACACCCCTGCACAGCCCGGGGACCACCCTCCTGACCTTAGACATGGGGCAGAGGGGGCCACACCCCTGCACAGCCCGGGGACCACCCTCCTGACCTTAGACATGGGGCAGAGGGGGCTACACCCTTGCACAGCCCGGGGACCACCCTCCTGACCTTAGACATGGGGCAGAGCGGGGGACACCCCTGCACAGCCCGGGGACCACCCGCCTGACCTTAGACATGGGGACAGAAGGGAGGACACCCCTGCACAGCCCGGGGACCACCCTCATGACCTTAGACATGGGGCAGAGGGGGGGACACCCCTGCACAGCCCGGGGACCGCCCTCCTGACCTTAGACATGGGCAGAGCGGGGGACACCCCTGCACAGCCCGGGGACCACCCTCCCGACCTTAGACATGGGGCAGAGCGGGGGACACCCCTGCACAGCCCGGGGACCACCCTCCCGACCTTAGACATGGGGCAGAGCGGGGGACACCCCTGCACAGCCCGGGGACCACCCTCCCGACCTTAGACATGGGGCAGAGCGGGGGACACCCCTGCACAGCCCGGGGACCACCCTCCCGACCTTAGACATGGGGCAGAGCGGGGGACACCCCTGCACAGCCCGGGGACCACCCTCCCGACCTTAGACATGGGGCAGAGCGGGGGACACCCCTGCACAGCCCGGGGACCACCCTCCTGACCTTAGACATGGGGACAGAAGGGAGGACACCCCTGCACAGCCCGGGGACCACCCTCCTGACCTTAGACATGGGGCAGAGCGGGGGACACCCCTGCACAGCCCGGGGACCACCCTCCTGACCTTAGACATGGGGCAGAGCGGGGGACACCCCTGCACAGCCCGGGGACCACCCTCCTGACCTTAGACATGGGGACAGAAGGGAGGACACCCCTGCACAGCCCGGGGACCACCCTCCCGACCTTAGACATGGGGCAGAGCGGGGGACACCCCTGCACAGCCCGGGGACCACCCTCCCGACCTTAGACATGGGGCAGAGCGGGGGACACCCCTGCACAGCCCGGGGACCACCCTCCCAACCTTAGACATGGGGACAGAAGGGAGGACACCCCTGCACAGCCCGGGGACCACCCTCCCGACCTTAGACATGGGGCAGAGGGGGGACACCGTGGCTTCAAGCAGGCCATTGGCAGTGGAGATAATGTCCCTTGTGCACATTGGTTTGAGAGATTGGAAATGGAAGGCGGAGAGCTAATCCAAGGACTGCATCCAAGTTGGGTCACTCTTCTCCTCGTTTTCTCTTTTTTCCCTTTAGTTTCAGTTGAAGAAGTTTATTTTAATAAAGAAAGGGAATTTAGCTTTCTGGAGGATCCTTGACTCCTAGTCTAGGGTTTTGGAGGTGGCTGTGAGCTTAGTGCCCACTGGGCAGGGCTCAGTTAATGGCACGCAGGGCAGCACACAGTTTTGGTGCCAGTGTCCTGAAGCGAGGCTCAGGCTCAGGGGCCAGCCGCTCTGGCTGGTTCTGAAATAGTCTCTTGCCTTGGACCTGAGGTGTTTCAGTCCTGTCCCTGTGTCTGGCTGTGTGTGGCCTCGAGTGAGAGGACAGACTTGCCGGGCCTGTGCCGGAAGAAGGCCGTTCTCTCCCGCCTCCGGCAGCGCAGAAGTCTGCTGGGTGGTGAGGACAGAGCTGGGGTGGGTGGGGACCTGAGTCCCCGAAAGACAGGTGTGGAGTGAGCAGGAAGAGCATGGCCTCTAATTTCTGAGCACCAGTGACTCCCTGCAGAGTCAGAGGTGCAGGCTGCGTTCTCGGCGGCCCCAGGCCCCGGAGAGCTGGCCCCGGTCGCCCCTCGGCTCTGGCGCTCATCTCTGCTTCTCCTGGAGTGTGTGTGCTCGCTGCCCAGTCCCATCCTGGGATCTGTTTTCTCTGGCACACAGGCCCGCGCCCTTCACTGTCAGGGTCACATTCCTGAGCCAGTCCCACGGGAGCTGTGCTGCTCTGGGATGCTGGCCCCGGTGAGGTGGGTTAGGCCAGAAGGGCGCCCTTGGGCATCCGCCTGAGCAGTCAGGCTCCGTGAGGAGCTGCCCTCCCAGTACCCTGCTCTTCCCTCTGGAGGCAGAGGCTGGGCAGGACCCATGGTTGGCCCTTGGTGGCACGCACTCCACGTGCAGTCCACTATAGGAGAAATGGGGTCTGTGAACCCGGGTCCGGGACACGGTGTTTTGTTTGCACTGTTCCGGACTGATGGTGATCACTTGGTGGCTTTGAGCCCCAGCACAGCACAGGGTCGAAGCGTATTCCCTTTTCAGGAGAGCTGACCCAGCTGTCCACACAGACTTAATTTCCCAGACTTAGACCTAACATCACGACCAAAGCTGCAGGAAATGGGCTTTAACTACACAAACACACACACATTCAGCCAAACCCCAGGAGTCCAGGCGGAGCCTGTGTCTGCTGTGCAGCCGACCTGGGCGCCTGTGCGGGCAGGGGCCGCACCTCAGTCTTCCCTTCCCTCCCCCCACCCATCCCCCTGTGGGATTCCGGGCGCCGTGTGGGTGTCTGGCTCCCCCTGCTGTAGAAGGGGAGTACTGCCCCAGGACACAGCTCCTGCCAGCCAGTGGCGCCAGGCACCTCCCGCAGGAAGGTACCCACTTTGCCCCTGCCCACCTTCTACCCCGCCTCCCCGGCAGCCATCAAAAGTTTGCCTCCAAGAGCAGGTCTCACAGACAAATGGAACTGCTGGTGAACTCTGCATACATCTCGCCGGGCTCCTCTCCCTGGGCCCAGCCTGCCAGACAGGTGCAAAGTAGCAAGTGAGTCAGAAGAGAGGCTCAGGGGGAGTCGGAGAAGGCTCCGAAAGTGGCCGCATGGAATCAGGCCCCATCTGTGCCCCACGTGTTCTGCTGCGAGTTCCTCATCTCCAGCCAACACTTGGCTGCTTCTCTGATGCAGGAAACCTCCTGTCACCAGCGCAGGTGCCTTTAACGTTTCTCTGAGAAAGGAGGACACGCTGGCTTGTGCTGTCTGTAAGTCCCCAAAGCTGCATGTGTCAGCAGGAGTCAGAGAAGAATGCTTCTCTTCTGTTTGTTGCTGAGAAGGTTTAGAGCGAGGCCCTGCAGTTCTCCTTGACTCACTTTCCTCCGTCCTGCAAACATCCAGGCTGTTAGGTGACTTTGCTGTGATTCTGTCCCACCCAGCACCATAAAGAAAGGCAAAACAACCTTAGAAAAAGTCCACCAATCTATGGAGACCAGCAGCTCCAGCAAGGGGCTAATACCCGACGTCCGACAGAGCGCAGGGCCAGCATCGCACTGGGTGGTCTTCCTGGTCCTTTCTGCCTATTTCACATTTTCTGTCGCTTGAAGAGGCTGTCATAGTGACTGAAGCCAAGGCCAGCTTGTCCGGTTAGACTCTGAGAGGAAGCACGACACCCATTCCAAGATGGAAGCTGGCTCTGGGCAGGAATGCGAGTCCTTCAGCTCAGGTGGTACCTGCTCTTGCTGCCTGAATGGCCACCCTACCTTCCCAGTTGCTGGCTGTCCCTTTATCTTAACCCAACTGTGTGGCAGGGATCCAGAGTGGTCACTGGGGAGTTTCCGTGTAGCTGAGAAACCAGGTCTTGTTTCCAAAGGGAGTTGATAAGCAGGGCACCACGTGGAGTTTTCAGGAAAGGGCTTTGACCTCAGAGAGGTGTCAGTCTCATTCTCGCCTGCGAACTTCCAGTGGTTTGGAAATGTACAGGAAATAGCTCTGCTTCCCTCCCAGCCGTCACCTGCCCGGGGTCCAGCCTCCGCTGGGATCTGTGTCCTTGCCTCAGACCCAGCATGAGGCCCGCTAAGGGAGGGGGACTTTCTCTCCAGCAGCAGCTTCAGCTGCAGAAAATGCAAACCAAGGTGCAGCAGAAGCTACCTCTGCCCTGTGTGAGTTGGCCGGCATGGCAGAATGGCACAGTCTCTCCCCAGCTCTCTTGCCACCTGGCCATCAGCTGGGTACACAGTGGTGGGCACCTTGCTGTGTGACCAGCAGAGGGGCAGGATAGTGCATCCCTGGGGGCTCCCACTGCTAGGGACAAAGCGGGTCCTTGTGACCCGAGCAGGCTGGAATCCGCTCTTTTTCCGTGTTGGCACATGGGTCCCCTGAACGCAGCTTAGGATGAAAGGAGCCTCAGAAAAGAACGTGTGATTCTCTTCACCGAATTTAATGGTACACCTGTGGCTGGAAATGACCAGGTCACACTGAATGAGCAGAAGGACTGTGCGTGTGTGCGTGTGTGTGTGTGTGTGTACCGCTGCATGTGTGTTCTTAATGTTTACTTCTTTCTGATTCATACTGATTTGGCCAATGCTGTAACTTCTCTTTCTGTTTCCTTTCCCCCGCTACTTCGTCCCCTCGTTCCCCACCTCATCTTCTCCACCCCTTGACCCTGGGACACTAGCCGGGAACCAGAGGCTCCAGCAGGTCATGCGCGCGGCGGATCCTCTGGAGATCCAGGCCGACGTGCACTGGACTCACATCCGTGAGAGGGAGGAGGAAGAGAGGATGGCACCCACCTCCGAGTCCTCTGCTTCCAGAGGTAACCATGCCCAGCCCCTGGCCGCAGTGCCCCGAGCACCGCCCACCTGCCACCTCTGTCGCCAGAGGCGGCTTTCTGTCAGGCAGAGCCCCCATGAGATCAAAGGCACACCCCCTTTGCTGCCATCAGCTGTGACCCCTGCACTTCTCATCTGAGGATATGTAAAGTTCTCTGTGGATTAAGCGATTTTTGTGGATTCTTTCTGTATTGATGCAGAATGGTCAAATGAACCTGTTCTTGGATAAACCAAGAATTTTGCTGACTTTGTCCCATGTTTCTGGTCACGGCTGCTCTTTCCCCACTTTGTAAAACGTTCTGGTACTTTCCTCACAGTGTGTGTCTGGATATGAATGTGTGTTGGCAGGAGGGGGGCGGGAGCAGCATGTCTTGAAGTGAAGTGATGTCTTGGAAAGCGATGTCTCTCCAGGAGGCCTCCACAGTAGTGTGGTCTCCAGCCCCAGGCTTGGGTGAGACGTCTGCGCAACGCCGTAGGATGAAGGTGCACCTCATGCTGGCTTCTTTTTTACTAAAGGAATAGCAATAAGAGGAAACCCGTGCAGACCAGAGGGACGTGGCGACCGCTGTGCCATGCTCCCCCGCATGCCGTCTGCCAAACGCCCACCCTCGGCGTCCCTGACCTCCGCTGTCACTCCTGTGCGTTCACGTTTTCATTCGGCACCAGTCACGGGCCATACACCCTCCCAGGCTCTGCGCATACCAAAGGGGCGTTTCCTGCCATCATGAAACAGCATTTAATAAGACGATTATTCTTCCCTGGCCCCGTATCTTCACCTATAGGCAAGACCAACCTCCGTGTCCGGGTTGCGGCGGCGCTGTGAACACCTGCAGCGTCGGGCTGGCCTGCGAGCTCAGCACCCTGCAGCCCTGGGCCAGCTCTGCCTGGGGTTCTCCCCTTCCCTCCTCATCCCGATTCTCCACCACAGACCGGCAGCAGGGCTCACGCCCCTCGGTGCCGGGCGGGCCTCTGTCCTGAATGCTGCCTCAGTTTCTCTTCTGTTTGGGATTTGAAGGATGACCTTGACTCTCCTCACTGGGAACGCGTATCGCTGTGTAACGTTGTATTTGTCGTCTGTTTCAAATTCAGTGCCCGACCTTCCCTCCATACGCCGCGCGGCGGTGCAGGCCTGGCTGGAGACGGTCTCCGGAGGTAGTCTGGTGATGTTCATTCTCTCCCCACTCACCGTAACCTCTCTCTAGGCGGCTCTGCTGGTACCTTAACACTAGACTCCTGGGCCTGTTGCTAGTGCATGCCAGGGCGGCGGAGGCGGGCGGGGGCACCTGCATGCCTTGCAGACAGCCCGCCCTTGCATGGATCAGACGCACACTCCTCCTTCAGGGCAGCCCAGAGGGAAGCAGGAGGGCAGGCAGGGCAGACACAGGCAGCTTTTTAATGACAGAGCTGGGTAAAAAGGCCAAAGCTGAGTAAAAAGGCCAAAGCTGAAAGAGCATTTTTGGCACTGAGATTTAAAGTGTGTTGAAATTGAGGTGGCTAGCGATTGAGTGTGAAAGGAGAGGAATCCGAAGATACTTCACATGCCTACCAAGGTATCAGAGAGGGAGGCAGTCAAAGCCAGGGGGTTATGGGAGGGTGACGGTGAGAGGGAAGAGCAGAGGGGGGGTGGGTGTTGGTCAGCTGAAGGTGAGGACAGGCTGGCTGTGACCACGGGTGACACCAGCCACATCCAGCTTGAGCTGCAGGCGTCTCTTCAAGCACAAGAGATTGTTGAGCAGCCTGTGGTGTTCTCCCTAAATTTTTCTGGAAGTGTGTGTTTCTCACCGAAGGGCTGTTGCCATCTGGGCAGGACAACTCTTTCCCTCGAAGAAGGTTGAACATTCTTGGTCTCCACCCTCCGTGAAGACACCCAGAATCCCCCCACAAGTTGTTAGACACTGCTGGAGGAAGGACAGTGTTGCTCCCAGCAGCACCACTGTCCTAGCGGTCACTCCTGGGATGCACACACGGGAGCTCGTGGGGCTTCCCCAGCCAGTCCCTGTGTCCCCCCAGCAGTGGGAGAAACGCACACGCACACAGCCGCAGGGAAGGGCCTCTGCTCTGTGCGCCCCTTGCCCTCTTCTAGACAGCGTAGGTCCCTAGGGCGGTGGGGCAGGAGCCTCCCAGCTGGCAGCTGAAGGGAACCAAGAGCTGAGTGGGTCAGTGGCTCCTGGCTTTCCTAGCGTGTGGCTCATCAACCTGTGTGGCAGCTTTTAGCACCCTGCACTCCATCTTAACCTGAATTTCACCCCCAGATCCACCCTGCGAGCTGCATCTCTTTCAACACTGCTGCTGCGTTGATGTTTCTCACCTGTTTGTTTTTTTAATCTTTGTGACGATTGTTCCTTTCAAGGTACTGCCAAGAGTGTAGACTTCTCACCGCCCACCCCCCCGACTCTACCGCAGGCGTGTCGTAGTGGAAAGTCTATAGGAGAGCCACGTGACCCAGGATGGGATCAGGCTAACCCAGGGTGCCCTGAACGATGCCCGGCTGGGAGGCCTGTGTGGGTCTCCTGGGTGCTGGCGTCCAGTTCACTCACCAGCGAGAGAGTAGAGCTGCCATCTCGATAGAATCACCCCAACATGCCTGTCAGGCCCGGGATGGGCCGGATTCCATTCCCAGCGGGGCGTTTTGTCCCGCCAGCCTTCTCAGAATTGCCACAGTGCAGCGTGAGCTCCCTTGTCTGTGCCTCAGAAGTCCCTCTCCCTGCTGTTTGATGAAATGTCTTCCTTGAGTGGCCAAAAGCACTGTTTTCCTACCGAGGCTTTAACCAACAGAAATACTTGAGGCGTTTCCACACCTCTTCCCCTGCAGGTGGCGCTGCTGTAGGGTGGCATTTGGCATGGCCAGCTCCGTGGGCCACCCTGGTGTCTCAGGGAGACATGTGGCCCCCTCAGCCAGTCCGGGAACCCCCCCATCTCCCCGTGATGCGGGCCGTCTGTTCCCTTCCAAACCGTTTTTTGCAGTTCTTCAAAAACTAGATCTGAACCCGCATCTTACAAGCTGTGCATAAAAGATAAACATACAGCTTAAGGAATTATTAAAGAAACAAAAACTTGCAGCCGGGCGCGGTGGCTCACGCCTGTAATCCCAGCACTTTGGGAGGCCGAGGCGGGCGGATCACGAGGTCAAGAGATCGAGACCATCCTGGTCAACATGGTGAAACCCCGTCTCTACTAAAAATACAAAAAATCAGCTGGGCATGGTGGCACGTGACTGTAATCGCAGCTACTCAGGAGGCTGAGGCAGGAGAATTGCCTGAACCCAGGAGGCGGAGGTTGCGGTGAGCCGAGATCGCGCCATTGCACTCCAGCCTGGGTAACAAGAGCGAGACTCTGTCTCAAAAAGTAAAAAACAAAAATCACATAACTGCCACCTTGGTCAAGGAATAAAATGTTGCGGCATCTTCTAAGTGCCTGGCCTGTGGAGAGAAGACGCTGCGTCCTAGCTGTGCCCTCCCTTTTCCACACAGCTTTTGAAGAAATCCGCCTAACCGGGAGCTGCCAGCTTCCTGCTCCAGCCTGGGGCTTTCATACACAGGCTCTTGTATGTGGGCCTCAGAGCATCACTCCTTTCTCCTGAAGTTAAAACCCTTAGGGGTAATTTGAGGGTGGCTGGGCTTGAACCCTAGGAGAGCCCTCAGATCCCTGGCAGTGGTCCCGTGGGACTCGGGTGTCGCGGGTCTCACGGTGTCCTCAGAGCGGAGCGTGCTGCCCTCTTTCCTGCTGCTACAAGTTCCGAGTGTGGGAGGTGGGGCCGGTGTGTGCGTGCCTGGGGGCTGGCTCCTGGGGAAGGGAAGTTGTCGGGGGGCTTTGCCTCCTTTTGCAGCCCGGAAGGGCTGCTTGGGGTCCAGAGGATGAACTTTACATACCCTCAGCCCCCCCCCCCCCCCGTGCTCTCACAAAGTATTAATATTTCTCTAAATTATCCCGAGGGAAGCTCATGTAGTGCCCCTGCACACGACGCTGTGAACAGCCCCTCAGCTGACCGGACCTCGGCTTTCTCACTGAAAGGGAGGCATTAGAAACAGTCCCTCTAATTATATGGCAGGCTGTGTGTTTCTTATCTGAAATATTTAAGAACAGAAGTGTTTTGGATTTCAGATTTTTTTCAGATCCCTCATAATGAGAGATCTTGGGGGCAGGACCCAAGTCTAAATACAAAATTTATTTATGTGTCATGTACGCCTCATACACGTAGCCTGAGGGTAATTTTAGGCAATATGTTCAATAATTTTGCGCGTGAAACTAAAGTTTTGGCTGTGACTGTCACCACATGAGGTCTGCTGTGGAATTTTCCACTTGGCCTCTTGTCAGCACTCAGAAAATTTCAGATTTTGGAGCATTTTGGATTTTGGATTTTCAGATTAGGGGTGTGAGGCAGATGGCACAGTACCTGACATGGCCAGGCTTTGGTGTGTGCTGCTGGGCTCAGGCCCAGGGAAGCCACGTTTCCCCTTCCACCCTCCTCAGCAGAGGCTCCTATCGCGACCTTTAGGGGAAGGCGAACAACCCCCACCTTCAGCCGCTCTTCTCTTCCCACTTGGCCCCTAGCATTGAGAAATGCCAACCTCCCATGTTTGGGAGCTCCAGGCCCCCCCAGCACCCATGCTGTGTATGGAGAGCTCCCTGGGCCTGGCACCATCTTCCCCTGTCCGAGGGCCTGCATGGCACGGTCCTGAGAAAGGCAGTACCTCTTGCCCCGTGAAGATGCAGCCTGTCTGCCTTTCCTTCCTTCCTTTGAACCTTTCTGCTTTGCAGCCCCGTTGGATGAGAATGACCTAGAAGATGTGGACTCGGAACCAGCCGAGATAGAAGGGGAGGCAGCAGAAGACGGGGACCCAGGGGACACTGGTGCTGAGCTGGATGATGGTAGGGGTCCACCTTCCCCACCCCCATGGTGGGAGCTCAGGGAAGAAGAAGGAAATATGCTTTCCAGCAAAATCAAGCTCACTGAGGCCACCATTGGGCCTCCTGGTTCCCTCTTGGCTCCCCCACGACTGGAATGCATCTCATTCCACCCAACCACCACCCACCCACAAGCACCAGGTGACTTGTCCAGCTGCAGCTGGGCGCCTGAGCCACACTGTGGCTTCATACAAGGCCTTTAATCCAGCAGACTGGTTCCCAAAGCTAGATACCCCGAGGTGTGTTCTGTATCGCAGTCTGGTTGTGGGGGGCTGAGGGGATCAGGGGTGAGGCTGAGAGGAATGAGAAGAGCCCGAGCCTGTGAGGGGTGCAGGCCCCAGCTGTGGACGTGGGTGGCAGTCGGGGCTGCTGAGAGGACGAGGTAGATGGGAGGGCCGTGGGGCCGGGCATGGCCTCCGCAGGCACACCCTGTCTCTCTGTCATGGTCCATCGTGTGTCACTATTGCTGTGTGTAAAAAGAAACAGAGCCCCACAGGCTTTGATGTGCCCCCGCATTCCAAAGGCAGGAGGGTGCTCTTGGCCGGACCCCTCGGGAGGGTGGTGGTCCAGCAGGCAGATGCCTGCATCAGAAGGGCCACCTGGCCTGCACGTGAGCAGTTGTATTGCAAATGAGCCAGCTCTCGGAGAAAAGAAGCCAGCCTCGCTTAGGGTGTGCCCCTGCTTCTGCCCTGCCCTCTGCCAGATCAGCACTGGGCTGACAGCCCTTCGGAGGCTGACAGAGAGCCACATCTGCCGCGCCCGGCCGAGCGGGAGGAGCCGGAGCCGAGGGCCCCAGAAGATGAGGAGAAGCCCATCTCACCGAAGCAACACGACAGAGGTGAGCCTGTGGGTGATGGGAGAGACAGTTTTCAGCACTCCTGCAAGAGCCACGTGTGCACGAGAATGGCACACTCTGGAGAGTGTCCGCTCCAGAGCAGAGCCGCGGTGCACACCAGCCTCCCGGGTGCGGGCGGCTCCTCGCCTCCCTTCGTCCGTCCGCCCTCCCGGGTGCGGGCAGCTCCTTGCCTTTTCCTCCTCCGTCCGGCCTCCCTGTGCCACAGGCTGCCGCAGATGCTTTGGCCAACGGCCCTTTCCTTGCATGGTCTGGGGGGAGGTAGAAGGGGCGTCCCGAAGCTCTATGTGCAGAGTGTGTGCGTGGAGGAAGCCCACTCTCTGACCTGGTGTTGACAGGAGCACCTGCGGAGAGTGCCGGGCAACCCCGGGGAGACGGTGCGGTGCCGGGGCCCTCACCCCGGAGAGAATCTGTGCTTTCCACAAGAGCCGGGAGCAGACTCAGCAACTTGCCTTCTGCCCTCCTCTCGACCCTCTGGGGCTGGCTGAAAGGGTGCCCTCCGAGCACGTGGGGGCTTCCTCTTAGAAGTCCCTGCGTTCATTCTTTTCAGGTCCCTCCCAAGCCACCAGCCCCATCCGGTCCCCTCAGGAATCAGCTCTTCTGTTCACTCCAGTCCACAGCCCCAAAACAGAGGTAAGCATTTGGGGCTCGTTGTGGGGTGCAGAAAACTGATGGGACCCCAGGGACACACATTAACTTCCCTGTTTCGGGGCCCATGGTGTAAGCCCCATCATGACTGGGGCTAACATAGCCTGCTGGCCTCCTCATTCAGAGGAGGATAGGAAACTATCATTCTGTTATACTAAGTAGAGCTGTTGATGACAGGAGTGGCCTTGGGGTTCCAGCTCTGGACTCTGAGGGATGAGGCTGTCTGGATGGCCCCTACTAACTCTGCCCCACTCTGATCCCAAACCTGAGCTGTCAGGCCTGTCACTGTACTAGGTCCACACGCCATATGCTATATGTTTAATTTAAACATAAGTTTATTAAAAATAAATATGTATTATAATTAATAAATTATAATGGATTTATTAGAATTCATGTTTTAATATAAATCACAAATTATTTAAATTAAAACAATTTTTATTATAGAATAATAAAATTAGTATGATTATAATGTTTATAATATGGTAATAAAATAATATGAATAATAAATATTGTTTTATTAAATTTATTATTTAAAAATTTATGTTTAAAGCCATAATATTGATGGGATCCTTGGTTTGATATGACAAATGCTTTTTTAACATGATGTTAAAATAAATGTCTAGCCACTGAAATGTGCAGTGTCCAGCAGACAGCCTGTGGTACGTGAACCACATGGAGAAGGCTGCGAAGCCAACTGGGACAGAAGGTCCTGTGGGTCGTGGCTTGGGAAATACTGTCCAGAGGCCACATCAGGGAGAAAGCTGGAGATCCAGCCCTGCGTCTGCTTGATTTGGTCTTTGGGATTCTAGGAAGCATGGAGCTATTCAGCGATTTTTTTTTCCCCCCTGAGGCAGGGTCTCACTCTGTTGCCCAGGCTGGCATGGGCAGCAGTTCAATGACATGATCACAGCTCACTGCAGCCTCCAGCTCCTGGGCTCAGTCGATCCTCCTGCCTCAGCCTCCCAAAGTGCTGGGATGACAGCCATGAGCCACTGCACTGACCTGTTCATTGATGTTACCTGTGAAACGGGGAGGCTTTGTTTGAGACGCTTGGATGGGGTGATAGAAGGGCTGATGCAGCCATCGTTGCACATCTGTGAGCTTCCCGGGGAGGACGCTTTGACTGTAATGCACTGTGATAGTAGCTATTGTAAGTCTTCTTACAGTTCTGGCCCCTCTGTGTGCGTCAGAGATCTTGGTGCTCTGGGGCCTCAGGACTGCAGTCATCCGTGGCCTTTTGGCCAGTGTTCCTGAGTGGACAAAGATTATAGGATGTATTTGAGATGAACCAAACCCTGGAAACCCAGTTTGTCTAAACTGAGCAGAGTGGTTCTAAACATTGAACAACTGGAGCAGACAGTGAGAAGGGTTCTCCTGAGCCGTTCTAATAACAGCTGGGAGGACGGGGGCGGGATTCATGCAGCAGGCACTTTGAGCGAGAAGGCTCCCCGACGATGCTGGCTGTGGAAGCCCTCACCTTCTCAGCGGCTTCTGTCTTCCTTCTCCATAGGGGCCCCGACTCCCACCTGTTCCTGCCGCCACCCAGGAGAAACCACCTGAGAAGCGCTTTTTCCCTGAGCCTTTGCTTCCCAAAGAGAAGTCCAAAGCTGACGCCCCCTCAGATCCCAGAGCTGTGCACTCTCCCATCCGATCACAGCCAGTGGCCCTGCCGGAAGCCAGGACTCCTGCCTCACCAGGGAGCCCGCAGCCCCAGCCACCCCTGGTGGCCTCCACACCCCCACCCAGCCCGCTCCCCATCTGCTCCCAGCCCCAGCCTTCCACTGAGGCCACCATCCCGTCCCCTACCCAGTCCCCCATTCGCTTCCAGCCTGTCCCAGCCAAAGCATCCACCCCACTGGCCCCTCTCCCTATCCAAAGCCAAGGTGACCCTAAGGACAGACTGGGCAGCCCCCTTGCTGTGGACGAGGCCCTCAGACGGAGCGACCTGGTGGAGGAGTTCTGGATGAAGAGCGCGGAGATCCGCCGCAGCCTGGGGCTCACCCCTGTGGACCGCAGCAAGGGGCCCCAACCCAGCTTCCCCACGCCTGCCTTCAGGCCAGCGTCCCTCAAGTCCTATTCTGTTGAAAAGTCCCCCCAGGATGAGGGACTCCACCTCCTCAAGCCTCTGCCTGTCCCCAAAAGAACGGGCCTGCCAAAGCTAGAGGGTGAGCTCCTGTCCCTGCCGCCACCCCGGTCCCCGTCTGACAGAGAGCTACGCAGTGCTCAGGAGGAGCGCAGGGAGCTGTCCAGCAGCTCTGGCCTGGGCCTGCACGGGAGCTCCTCCAACATGAAGACACTGGGCAGCCAGAGCTTCAACACCTCGGACTCCGCCATGCTCACGCCCCCCTCCAGCCCACCCCCACCCCCACCCCAAGGTGAGGAACCCGCCACCCTGCGGAAGAAGCTCAGGGAGGCCGAAGCCAACACCTCGGTGGTCCCACCGCCCTCGCCTGCCACGTGGATGAGGCCCCCCCGGGAGCCCGCCCAGCCCCACAGAGAGGAAGTGCGGAAATCTTTCGTGGAGAGCGTGGAGGAGATCCCCTTCGCTGACGACGTGGAAGACACCTACGACGACAAGACTGAGGACTCGAGTCTGCAGGAGAAGTTCTTCACGCCCCCCTCCTGCTGGCCGCACCCCGAGAAGCCTCCCCACCCATCTGTGGCCAAGGAGAACGGGAGGCTGCCTGCTCTGGAGGGGGCGCGGCAGCCACAGAAGAGGGGTCTGCCCTTGGTCTCCGCTGAAGCCAAGGAGCTGGCCGAGGAGCGCATGCGAGCCAGGGAGAAGTCTGTGAAGAGCCAGGCGCTGAGGGACGCCATGGCCAGGCAGCTGAGCAGGATGCAGCAGATGGAGCTGGCCACCGGCGCCCCCAGGCCACGCAAGGCGTCCTCGGCAGCCTCCCAGGGCAAGGAGCGCCGGCCTGACTCCCCCGCCTGCCCCCCTCTCAGGGGCACTGAGGAGCGCACCCCGAAGCATGAAGCCACCAGCGAGGAGGTCCTCTCCGCGCCGTCGGACTCGGGGGGCGCAGATGGCTCCTTCACTTCATCCGAGGGCTCCAGTGGGAAGAGCAAGAAGAGGTCGTCGCTCTTCTCCCCCCGCAGAAATAAGAAGGAGAAGAAGTCCAAGGGTGAGGCCCGGCCCCCGGAAAAGCCCGGCCCCAGCGTCCCGGAGGAAGCCGCCACCAAACCCAAGTCCCTGTGGAAGTCGGTCTTCTCCGGGTACAAGAGGGACAAGAAGAAGAAGGCCGACGACAGGTCCTGCCCCAGCACCCCGTCCAGCGGGGCCACGGTGGACTCCGGCAAGCACAGGGCACTGCCCGTCGTGAGGGCAGGTGCGTGGGTGTCGGGCCCGCACCCGGGCAGAGCGGGAGGGGTGCACGTGGGCCCGGGTCACTGGGGCTCTCGGGATCCGTGCTTACACACTGCCCCCCAAGGCTTCTTTGGGAGCCATGCTGACCTACAGAAGGGACCGAACCATGGGTTCACAGGGCGTAGCCTGATGAGTACAGAATTCTCAAAGCCAGCTTGAAACTGGATCAGGAAGACTGGAGGTTTGTGCCCTTCCAAAGTCTCACGACCCCAGTCCACTTGTGCACAGGGCAGAGGGCGGTGCTGCCAGGAGGGGCTGGGCAGGTCGCGGTCCGCCCGCTTGGTGTCACCTCTGCCCTGCCCAGGCAAATGTTGACGTCCCAGCTTCTGGCTCCCCAGGATGGGGGAAGGATCCATTAAACTAAAATGAGTCCAGCCTCCCTCCCGGCCTCCCTGTCTGCACGTGGGAGCAGGAGAGAGCTGTCCCGCAGGCTGGGGCCATCCTCACGCAGCCTCCCTCTCCCCACAGAGCTGCAGCTCCGGCGCCAGCCGAGCTTCTCGGAGGACTCGGACCTCTCCAGCGACGATGTCCTTGACAGGTCGTCGCAGAAGTCCCGGCGAGAGGTGCGTAGTCAGGTAGGGGGGCTTCACAGAGCCCGGGGCCCAGCTGCTCCCAGTTGGGCTTTGACTGGGGGGAGGAGGGGGAGAGCAAACCTGAAGCCAGGGACGGATAGCGAGTGGCACACAGCCAGCTGACTGCTGACCAGCCCTACGCACTGAGGGGGTCACGCTGGGCTTCTTACATGGGAGCTGCGGCACAGCAAGGGTTCCTGGTTTCTGCTCTTGTGAAGAAGAAAAGATGAGCCATTCCTGCATCACGCTCCCCTTCCCTGCGGGAGGCAGCCTGGCATTGTCTGTTTCTTCATAAGCGATCCCGTGAGGAGCAGCCCGTCAGCCCCAAGGCCTCCATGGAGAGCGCTGCCCAGTTCAGGGCTGCTGGCAGGAGCTGGGACCTCAGGCACTGAGCATTGTGCCTGGTGCTGCCCACGTGGTGGGTTTGTTGGTTACGGAGGGTTTGTCGTCTTAGAGGACTGGTCCAGGAACGGACCTGCAGGGCTGCTGGGTCTGACTCGGCCCCTCGCTCTGCAGAGCCCGGGACTTTGGGTGGGTCCAGTGAAGGTGGAGGGGAGAGGACTCCGCATGCTCTTAACCGGCACCTGTCAGCATGCAGGGCAGGTGGAGCTCTGCAGAGCGCCACCCACCTCTGCTGTCCAGCCTGAGCCCTGTGCTCCTCCCCCTGGCTGGGAGCGGCCTGGCTGTCTCTGCTTCCTGCCTCCCTTTCGCGTGAAGCTTCCCCAGAGTGTAGCGTGCCTTGGTGGCAAGGCTTCTGGGGCTTGGACTTGAGTCTGCCCTCTCCTGCCCCCCAGTAGCCCAGTGAGGGTGGGCCGTGGTGAGCCTGGGCCCCTCATCCTGTTGGGTGAGGTGGCTCCTGCAGCTGATCCCTGCCTCTGTAAATACCTCAGCAAACCGGACGCTTCGTTCTGCGCCCTCCTCGGTGCATTCGTCTCCCTTGGCCTTGCTGGCTCTTCAGCCACTCTCCTAGAAGGCTCTAGAGGGCCAGGCCTCTCCTCTGCTCCACCCTCTGCAGAACCAGGCTTCCTTGTACCCCAGCCAAGCCAGCACTGAGTTAGGGTTGGGGTCTGTGCCTTCTTCTCAAGGACCGAAAGAATGTGCCTTCTGTCAAGGCTCCCTGTCCAGCTTTCCCAGGCAGGAGCATTGGCACTGAGCTCAGAATTGCCCTGGGTTTCTATGTGGGTCCCTAAATGCATCCCAACACTGGGGCTGGGTGCTGCCTTAGGGGGTCAGCAAGGAATGGAGAGTGTGGTCCCAGGCTCACTGCCTCAGTGTGACAGTGGGGACCTTCCATCTGCTGGGTCAGGTTGGCCACCCACCTCCCTCACGTTGCTGTGGTGGCCAGTGTGTCCACCGCTTCTCTATGTATGAAGCGCCCACTAGGGTACTGGACAGCAGCTGCCCGGACTGGCTTTGCCAAGGCTGGTACTTGGTGAGCCTCCCCAGGGCCCAGCAGGTATGAGGAGGAAGGGAGGAGCAGGAACAGGACCGCAGGAAAAAGCCATGGATACCAGTCATGGAATCCTAGAGCCAGAGGGAGCCTCTAGGCCTCACCCTCCAGGGGCACCCACAGAGGTGAAGCCATGTGCTGGAGGGCACACAGGGAATACTAAAGCCAAAGCCAAGCCTGGGGGACAGACAGGCTGGGGGATGTCCGACCTAGGGAACGGCTGAGGACCAGGAGACGGTTGAGCTAGGGGACGGCTGAGGACCAGGAGACGGTCGAGCTAGGGGACAGCTGAGGACCAGGAGATGGTCGAGCTAGGGGACAGCTGAGGACCAGGAGATGGTCGAGCTAGGGGACAGCTGAGGACCAGGAGATGGTCGAGCTAGGGGACAGCTGAGGACCAGGAGATGGTTGAGCTAGGGGACGGCTGAGGACCAGGAGACGGTCGAGCTAGGGGACAGCTGAGGACCAGGAGATGGTCGAGCTAGGGGACAGCTGAGGACCAGGAGATGGTTGAGCTAGGGGACGGATGAGGACCAGGAGACGGTCGAGCTAGGGGACGGATGAGGACCAGGAGACGGTCGAGCTAGGGGACGGATGAGCTAGAGGATGGCCAACCAAGGAGACGAATGACGTGGGAGGTGGCCACGCCAGCGGCGGCTGACCTGACTTCCGCATGGTGTGGAGTCAGCCTGAGTGACAGCTGGGTGCTGTGCCCTTTCCAGACATGGGTGCTAAAGAGGAGAACAAACAAATACAGCCAGAAAGGACATTTGGGGAGCAATTAAAGAAATTCACCTGAGGACTGGTTGACAGTATACATGTGTATTATTATGAGTCCGTTACGTTCCTTGCATGTGCTAAAGACACTGTATCCCCTCCCCTTCTCGGTGCACGGCCTTTTACATAGGAAAGTTATATATAAGAAAATGTCTGTGTCCTTAGGAAGTACATCCTAAAAGTTTTAGGGATGAAGGCGCATGTCTACCCGTGATTCATGTAAAAAGTCATAAAAGATGACATAGATGAAGCACCTGGCAAACGGTCACCTTTGGTGAGAGGCATGTGGGTGTTCATTGTCTGCCTCTTTCAACTTTTCTGTGCGTTTGAAATGTATCAGAGTAAGCATGGGGAATGGGGGCCCACAGTGAGGATGGGGTTTGACCTGCCGGGAAGGAGGAAGCCTCCTATGCTGCCCAGGACCCCTGGCCACTCCAGCAGCACAGACGACGCCTCCTGCCTCGCAGCACCTGTGAAACAAGAGCCTGGGTTTTGTTTTGTTAGAAATTTTTAAACCAGGCCGGGCGCGGTGGCTCAAGCCTGTAATTCCAGCACTTTGGGAGGCCGAGGCAGTTGGATCACGAGGTCAAGAGATCGAGACCATCCTGGTCAACATGGTGAAACCCCGTCTCTACTAAAAATACTAAAAATTAGCTGGGCATGGTGGCACGTGCCTGTAATCCCAGCTACTCAGGAGGCTGAGGCAGGAGAATTGCCTAAACCCAGGAGGCGGAGGCTGCGGCAAGCCGAGGTCGCGCCATTGCACTCCAGCCTGGGTAAGAAGAGTGAAACTCCGCCTCAAAAAAAAAAAAAAAAAAAAAAAAACAGAAAAAAAAAATTTTTAAACCAGTCAAAATAACGTATTTTTATTTAAAATGTTTGTTATAGAAAATTTAGGATAATTGAGACTTTAAAAAAACTCCTGTAGCCCTACCTACAAGAGAGAACTCACATTTACCTCTCTGCTTCCATCTGACTTCAGATACAAGCATCACAGCTGCCTCTTGAGTTCTGTGGTCCACCCGGGTGTGGCCTGGGCACCCCTCCACCCCACATCCAGATTCACAGCAGAACGCCAGCTCCTGTGGCTGGCCACCACCTCAGGCACATAGCGACAGGTGGTGACTTCGCCCCTCCCAGCCCTGAAAATGGGTAGCTTGTGGGAAGACAGCCACTGCCCCTGTTGTCACCAGCCACAGGTGAAGATGTTAGTTGTGGTCCATAGTTTCTGTGGGCTTTTTGCAAGCCGCTTCAGGAAATCATCTCTCTTCTTTTGAACTGGCTTTTTCTCATAATGACATTCTTTCTCTCACTCCAATTTGTGAGAGAGGTGAGTCCACCTGAGTCGGGGGGACACAGGTACTCAAAGTCGAAGGAGGCAGAATCATTCATCCCTCTCCAAAAGGCTTGGGAGGCGCAGCTCCGCATGAGGCCACCCCACAGATGGGATGGACAGAGCAGCAGGGAGAGCGGCCGGGCTGCAGCTGGCCTGGGACTCTCAGGGCCTCCCTGTCTTGTGTGCCACCATACACCTGGCTCCCTTAGTGCCTTTCAGCCATTAATGTGGCTGGTGAGACCCAAAGAGCAGATATGACTCACCTTGGTCCTCCGAGTGGCTCTGCGCAAGGTGCGATGGAATGAGGAGGCTCCCGACGTGCTTTTTGTGAAGAGCAGTTACTGATGCTAGTTCACCCCCTTTCCCGGGCACAGTCAAGAAATGGCAGCTGGGCGGCACACAGGAGCACTGCCAGCGGAGATCCTTTCAGGAGAGATGGTTTCATTCCCAGTTTTGCTGTGTCTGTCTGAGAGCAGGACCCCCTCCTCTCCTGCACCCCTTCCACTACCCGGGAGCATTGGGCAGGAAGAAGTGGGCTGAGTTTCCATAAACATGAGGAGAAAAGGATCAAGAATCACATATTTTAACGCCTTTGACTTTACACACAGGACATTGAGATGAGAGTTTTGGGGTGGTGAGGAAGAAGCTGTTTCTTTCCAGTAAAAGAGTGAACCCAGCTGTATTTAAAACCAGGTTGGCCCAGACGCCACCACTAGGATCTTCACGCCCAGATTCCTCTGTAGGCAGTCCTGTGTGGCTATGTGAAAAATAATCACGTGTTTTAAGTCTTGTGTGTTTGTTTTAAACTTCTAACTTATTTTGCTCCATTTCTGTGTTCTCAACTTTTAATTTGTTAATCATTATTATTATTACTATTCTGTTTTGTTTTCTGATGCCATCCCAAAGTCGATTTATGTACCACACGCCTTGGCATTCAGGAGATCATATGCATCAAAGGTAGTGTCTTGTTGCTGTCAGCCGGTCACCGTTGCATGCATGTCTATGATTAACCGCCCAGCGCCATCCCCAGCCCTCCAGCCACACCCTCACTAACGGTGTTTGTATGCGCATGGGCTGTGGCACACTGGCAGCAGCACTTCCATTAGGCGCCTCGTGACGGGAAGGAGGATGAGACGCCTGCCCCTCACCGGCTGGAGTGCATGTGGTCATTTTGCTCCAGGTTCCCCGGGTCAGGGCAGAGCTGCCCCTGGTGCAGCCCTCAGCTCTGATCAGCAAGGTGCAATGCTGAAACACCACGGATGACCCTTGGGGACGGCCTGTTCAGGGACTCTCTGTCATTTGAGGTCTTTGAGTGAAGATTAGAGCCCAAGTCACATTTGTCGTCTTTGAAGTCTATAAAAGTTTTCTGGTTGGCTGGGTGTGGTGGCTCACACCTGTAATGCCAGCATTTGGGGAGGCCGATGTGGGAGGATCACTTACGCCCAGGAGTATAAGACCAGCTTGGGCAATATAACAAGATCCTGTCTTTACAAAAAAAATTTTAAATCATCCGGGCGAGGTGGCACACGCCTGCAGTACTGACTACTTAGGAGCCTGAGGCAGGAGGATCACTTGAGTACAAGAGTTTGAAGCTGCAGTGAGCTGTGGTCGCACCACCGCGCTGCAGCCTGGGTGACAATGAGACCCTCTCCAAAACGTTTTTATAGTCGCCTTGTTTCATTTTCTTAGAGGCAATTAAGAAGGCCTTAGGAATAAAGGCAAATTCCCTAACCTTTGCCCTTCTGGTTGCCCAGGGTTTTTTCAAAGCCTCTGATGCTCCCTTGAACCCTTGGCACCTCCGTGGGCAGGGGCTGTGGCTGTCCGGTCTGTGGACTTGCGCTGGATTGGGTCGTTGCCTCCTCCATTGATGGCACTGGGCATCACTGCCCCGGCCAGGCCACTACCTCTCTTCTTCCCAGCGGCCACGGCTGCCTCTGCAGACCCCAGAGTCGATCCAGGTTCACGCCCACAATTCCTCCTTCAGACTGTACTTGAAGCATTCCTGTTCTCTCTACTTGGGTGTCATTTCTTTGAAGACTCTCACGGATACTGCTCTTCTGCAGAACATGGCCTTTGATGCCAACCAGGAAAATAAAAGATGCTGATTTCTCTTTCCTTCCCCTGTGAGCCTCCTAGAAGCAAGAGGCTTGGTGAAACAGCCTGCCAATGTTTTTAATCCCACAAAGTCTTAAAAAGACTAGATGTCCTTATTCAGGAAACAGGTGATCTCAGCGATAAGGTAGTGTGTGTCCCTTTATTGTTTTAACTGCCCAGTAATCGGTCCCCACTCAGCCTCCTGTCCCCGTGCAGAGGTGGGGAGATGTCTCACCCTGTGGATCGTAGGTGTGCCCATGGCACTGAGGGCTGCTGCAGGCTGGGGACTCTGCAGACTCGTGCCGTCTGCCTGTCAGCACCCCCCATCCTGCCAGCACTCTCCCTACAGAGAATGGCTTGTCTTTCTGCCCGGGTACCAGCTCTGACTCTGACATCGGGGACAGCCCTCTCCAGGGCCCCTGCTGGCCTGCCACCCGCCCCTATCTCAGACCTCCGTGCACTTGACTGAGGAAATCTCTCTTGTTCTCTCCAGCCAAGAACCTACACAGAGGAGGAACTGAACGCCAAGCTGACCCGGCGTGTGCAGAAAGCGGCTCGGAGACAGGCCAAGCAGGAGGAGCTTAAGCGGCTGCATCGAGCCCAGGTACAGCCACGGAGGCTGGGACCAGGGCACACGTGTGGGAGGCTTGGGCAGGCTTCCTCTCCACCCAGCTGCGCCCTGCCACGCTAAGTGCCGTGCGGAGCAGAGCAGGGATGGACCGGCCCCCTGCCATCCGGGTCACCTTTGGCCCTGCCCTGGCAGAGCTGTCGGCCCAAAGGGAACAGCAGGCCAAGCTGGTGTCACCAAAGTGCTGTAATCCCAGCACTTTGGGAGGCTGAGGCAGATGGATCACTTGAGGTCAGGAGTTCGAGACCAGCCTGGCCAACAAGGCAAAAAGCCATCTCTACTAGAAAAAAAAAAAAAATTAGCTGGGCGTGGTGGCAGGCACCTGTAGTCCCAGCTACTCAGGAGGCTGAAGCATGAGAATCGCTTGAACCCGGGAGGCAGAGGTTGCAGTGAGCTGAGATCACACCACTGCACTCCAACCTGGGTGACAGAGCAAGACTCTGTCTCAAAAAAAAAAAAAAAAAGCAGAGGTGGGGGAAAGAGCCCTGCTTTGAGTTTCCCGAATTCCTTGTTGTAGAATAATCATCATGAGTTGCCTTGTTCAATTCTGAGGACTGTCATCAGGAGTCCATTCGTGGCTCCTCAGCCTCTGATAGGCCTGGGATTTGTGTGGGAAGATGTCAGAGCTCTCCTCACATCCTCAGCTTGTCTTCAGGCTGCACAGACCCTGAATTCTAGACCATTGTAGAGCTGTTTTGTGTTTCTTTTTAAGACGGAGTCTTGCTGTATCTCCCAGTCTGGAGTGCAGTGGTGCGATCTCAGCTCACTGCAACCTCTGCCTCCTGGGTTCAAGCAATTCTCCTGTGTCAGCCTCCCAAGTAGCTGGAATTACAGGTGCCAGCCACCACACCCGGCTAACTTTTATACTTTGAGTAGAAATGGGGTTTCACCATGTTGGTCAGGCTGGTCTCAGAACTCCTGACCTCAGGTGATCCAACACCTTGGCCTCCCAAAGTGCTGTGACTACAGGCATGAGCCACCATGCCCGGCCTCTCTCCATTTTTAACCGTAAAGATGGGATTTCCACTGCGCTGTTGAGGAACCCCATGCAGCAGTCCAGCAGGCTTGGCGTGAGAACGGTCTGAGGTTCTGGCTCTCGGGCTCCTCCTGCAGCAGCTTACATCCACTTCCTGTCCTTGCACCACTCTTGGGAGGGTGGTCACTACCTGAGCTGTGTCCGCACTCTTGGATACCAACTAGCAAGGCCCGGAGCCTAGCGTCTACACAAGCTAGGGGGTTCTGGTGCAGATGGTCTCCACACCATACCCTGAGCATGCTGCCCACGGACTGGAGCGGTTTCCAGAGCGACCACTGCTTTGTTTCTGCTTGTGTGGGTGTGCAGTTGTGTGTCCTCATGAAGCAGGGCCGTAGGGCCGGTGCTCAGGCTGTGCTATCTGTCACAGATCATCCAGCGGCAGCTGCAGCAGGTGGAGGAGAGGCAGCGGCGGCTGGAGGAGAGGGGCGTGGCCGTGGAGAAGGCGCTCCGGGGCGAAGCAGGTACTGCTGGGCTCCCTCCTAAGCTCTGCTCCTGGAGGAAGCCCTCCCTCCCTCCCTCCCACCATGGTAGGCTAGTTTTGCTTCACCTTACCTGGAATTCAGCTCCTTTTCCAGCAGGATTTTCTGGGGCCCTTCATCACTGAGATTTGGGGCTTCCTGTTAAGCAAAAGAAAATACTTGTCTGAGACAGCCCCAGGCCCATCCTGCTCCGCAGCCCCTGTGGGCTGCTGCTTCCCATAGAGTGAAACCCAGTCCCTGGCATGTTGACGGAGAGCGCTGGCTCCCCCGTTCCTTCCTGCCCCACATTTACTCTAGAAGGGCGTAACTGGGAGTGAGGGAGATTGAACCGCAAGGAACCATCACAGAACTGCACTGGGCAGGTCCCCAGCCTGCACCCCCCAGGCCTCCTCCTGCCGTTAGTTCCCTGGGCCCCTCCTGCCCACAGAGCCCTCATCACTGCCGGTGGGAGAGCATGTGGCTGCCCTCGGCACGCACGGATTTCCAGAGGGCACCCAGGCTCTGTGTCTCCTGAAGGCTGGTCACTCAGGGCAGGGCTGGAGAGGCTCGGGGCATGTGGCTAGCCAACGTGGAGCAGACTCCGGGGAGTGGCCGGCCGGGTCCCGTGCTTGTGACTGCTGCTTCTGGCAGGGAAGCACCGGAGGCTGTGGTGCGCTCACATCTGCCGTTCCACCCAGGGAACCTGCAGGGCTGCACTCAGCACAGTTGGGCTCGGAGAATGCAAGGGAGTTCCTGAGGCGTCTCCGGCCCCATGGCCCAGGAAGCCCTGTTGGTTCAGGACCTTGAAGCCGCAGGGCCAGCCCGGGGGTGCAGTGCCCACTCCGCCTTCTCAAGCATCCACAAGTCTTCGTCTAGCCTCTGGATGGGGAAACTTCCATGTCTTTCTAGCCTGCAGGTCCAGCTTCAGATTGTGCGCTGGGATGAAGAAGAGCAGTGTCCTCTTACTTCCTCACTCTAGTGTGGCAGAGGGGAGCAGGCTGCCTCTGCTGACAGGCAGGCGCGCGGTGAGACAGAAGAACTGGGAGGAGGCGGCCCGGAGCAGGGCCAGGTGCTGCCATCTGATCTTGCCCAAAGACCCCTGGGCTCACAGGAAGTGCCTGGTGTCAAGATGAGCTCCTGTGGCCTGCAGGACTGAAGCTGGTGTGGTGGGGAGTGAGGGGGCTGGGTGTGGAAGTAGGTCTCCTTTCCCAGGCCTGGAAATCACAGCTTACGCTCTACTCAGCAAGGACCTTGAGGCAGAGAAATGGGTTGGGAAGAAAGGGGAGGCTGTGGATGCTCTTGTTTTGGGATCACCTGATGCTGGACTTAATGCTAAAGCCCAGGCTGCCGAAGGAAATGCAGAACTAAGCACTTGGCGTCCGGCGGGCCGAGAAGACTGGGATGGGTTGCTGCGAGACAAGCACGGCAAGGAGGTTGGGGTGCGCCTGAGCAGATCCTGCGGCGCCCTGCCTCCCTGCCCCGCTCCGCGCAGTCTGATCCGGCCTCCTCAGTCAAGCCTGAGCGCACATGGAGTTGGCCCCAGCCCACCTGTGCACATCTGCATCCAGGCCCACAGGGCCCTGCCCTGTGATTTTCCTCCTCTTGTGGAAGGTACCAGGAGAGAGCCTATGTCTTCATTCCTCCTCGCTCTTCACAAATCACTTCTGCCAAGATGGAAAGCGGTGGATAGATCTCAGCACACAGGCAAAATCACTCAGCGGCGTGTGCAGCCACATTTCGGGCTTTAAGCCCTCCGGGAAGAAGACCACGTCCTGCCCTCCTCAGTCACAGGGTTGAGGTGGTGGTGCCATCCCGGTTGGTGGTTCCCGTAAGCACGTGAGCGCCCGTGGCTTCCTTGACGTCTGAGTGTAAAACACCACTTGGTTGCCTCTGTGACAGGCCCTGTTATTCAAGCTGCCAAAGGGCCAGAAAATAATACACATTGAAGATTGGTATGCGGTTCTGCCAGAGTTGTTCTAGGCATTAGATAATCCCATTTCCTTAAACGTAGACAACTCAAATGCCATCCAAGTCGGTGGTTTCAGACTTCTTTTTTAGGAGAAGAACCCTTTTTACAAGATTGTAAGTTCAGGTTTAAATAATTGAACACCTCACATGGAAATATCAGAATTACCTGCAGTGTAAATGATGTAGGTACTAGAAGTTTAAAGGCAAGAGCTTTTTCCCAGTTGAATCATAGCCAATGTAACAGCAGTTCCTATTCCTCACGAAAGACAAGTCTCAAACAAGAGGTGCCCAGAGTAAACAAAACCCCACCTTCGCTGTAAGACCGCAGCAAAGCGTGTTACCCTAACTAAAGGGCCTTGCCCAAGGGCACGTGTGCTGACCCCGACCTGCGCCTTGCCTGGATGGACCCAAACCGTGGCATGTGAGCACTGTGGCCGCAGGCCAGAATTTAAATACACAGATAAATAAAATGTCCTCTTCACTAACATTACAGGGAGTTCTGCCACTTACACGAAGAGAGGCAGAAACTTGATCCTGAGGGCCCCACAAAATCACGCTCACCCAGCAGCACAAATTACTGGGTTGATGGGCTCCAGTGGGTGAAAAGTTGACATATGAAACATTTGAAAGTGGTGTGTCTTATTTTAGTAAGGTCTCTTAAAACAGCTACAAGTGGCCGTACGCAGCGCCTCACACTGGTAATCCCAACACTTTGCAAGGCCAAGCTAGGCAGATCCCCTAAGGTCGGGAGTTTGAGACCAGCCTGACCAACATGGAGAGACCCCATGTCTACTAAAAATACAGAAAAATTAGCCGCACGTGGTGGTGCATGCCTGTAATCCCAGCTATTCAGGAGGCCGAGGCAGGAGAATTGCTTGAACCCGGGAGGTGGAAGTTGTGGTGAGCACTCCAGCCTGGGCCCAAGAACGAAATTCCGTCTCAAAGAAAAGAAAAAGAGCTACAAGTATTTGTACATCAGGAATTTGGGAGACCCCTTGGAATGCCTTTTGAAGAATCTTAGGGTTCCACAGAAGCTTGAAAACCACTGTCCTAGTCCAAACTCTGTCCTTTAGATGAGTCTTCACCAAAAATATCTCTTTTATTAAAGATGTTTCTGTTCTGTTGTTCAAGACAGGCCTTCGTAGCGCTATTGGGATATTTCCTTGCGATGCATTTGAGAAATTCTCAGGAATTTTCAGGAATTACGATTCCCACCCTAAGAATATAAGAATTTCCAAGTATGTTATTTTCCTTCTCTTACGTGAACACATCCCTCCCACAGCTGGTCTCACGTCAGTTCCCCGTGGCCCTGCCCCTCCTCGGCCGATGCCGTCTGTGAAGCCCAAGTGTGGTGCTGCCACCGCCTTGTCTCCTGCTTCTGTGTCCCGTCCCTCCCCTTAGCCTTGTGGCGCCTGGCCAAGCCCTGCAGAAGGCAGTGACAGCAGAGCATGGTCATCGTCCGGAGTCTTCGCACCATGGCAGTCCGCCCTTCCCTGGGGACTGTAGTAAACTGGCTGGAACCTGCCACCCTTGGTCTCAAGCTCCCATCGCTGTCTGAGGGCATCAGACTTCATATGCCAAGCTGCCTTCCAGAGAAGGGATCTGGCATGGACCTGTCATCCTGTTCTCCATTTGTCTAAGGTGTGTCAACGTATGGTCGGGCCACAAGCTTCAGCCCTTTGATCCTAGGGCCAGGCCACGACAGATGATTTCCAGTCCTGGGCACCTGGGAAGCCTTTTCGTTACAAACCGCTGGCTCAGCCATGAGCATGCGTTGAAAAGCTTGGGCAGGACTGCATTCTACTGTCTGGGGCAGGTGTCCCCAGACTGCGGCCCCCTGAGGCCATTTATCCGGCCCCCGCCGCACTTCAGGAAGGGGCACCTCTTTCGTTGGTGGTCAGTGAGAGGAGCACAGGATGTGGCGGCCCCGCAAAGCACGGCGTCGCTCACGTACAGTACTACTTACGGTGACACGGGACGCACGCATCATGGCTCTGGAAGCGCGTCATATGACGCACATCCGGTCTGCGGCTGCAGCGCCCCACATCACCGGAAGCAGTGAAATAACAGCAGAAGTAGGAAGAAAGGCAAAGCACTATAACCATTACTGCACAGTACAATGGCCCCCTTACTCCCCCACAGTGTATAACAACATAATGGCCCCTATAACCTCCCTTTGCCCAAAAGTCTCCCCCAACATGACTACACACCGTGTTTCCCCTATTATAAGACCCTGTCTTATATTAATTTTACCCCCAAAAGATGGCGGCTGTCTTATTTTTAGGAGGTGTCTTATAATAGGGGAAACATGCAGCAGTGGGCTTCCCACAGAAGAGGCCCACCGCTGCTGCAGATGTCCAGGACGCTGTATACACAGTGTCACAGGCTGATCTCCGCCGTCCCTGTAGACAGCACTGGAGGCGGTGCTGGGCCTGTGACACTATATACCGCTGTCTGGGATAGTGGAGGCAGCAGCGCTGGCTGTGAAGGGTGTCACGCCTTGCATAGTCCGGCCCTCCAACGGTCTGAGGGACAGTGAACTGGCCCCTTGTGTAAAAAGTTTGGGGACCCCTGGTCTGGGGTGTCATTCTCAAGAGGAGGCCGTCAGGTGGGCCCGGAGGCGCTGCAGGTCGGCATTCAGAACGTGGGGCTTGGGAAAGGGCAGCACCTTGGCGGTGGCTGGCTGCTGCGCTCCATGCGGCTCTGTGATTCTGGGGAGAGGACCCCGCTCAAGCCCGGCCTCTCGGCTCTGTGATTCTGGGGAGATGACTGCCGCTCAAGCCCAGCCTCTCGGCTCTGTGATTCTGGGGAGAGGACCCCGCTCAAGCCCGGCCTCTCGGCTCTGTGATTCTGGGGAGAGGACCCCGCTCAAGCCCGGCCTCTCGGCTCTGTGATTCTGGGGAGACGACTCCCGCTCAAGCCCGGCCTCTCGGCTCTGTGATTCTGGGGAGACGACTCCCGCTCAAGCCCGGCCTCGGCAGCACCCAGTCTGCACCTCAGACATGAAAATGACGCTGAGCTCTCGGCCAGACAGCCGTGGAACTACCAGGCCCGGTCTGCCCTGGACCTGCAGACCTCCAGGAGCCTTCGGGCAAGTGTCTGGGAAGACTCCACCTAAGTCTCTGCTTGTGTCCTGTTTTTAAGAAGGCTGACTGAATTTGGGGGCCTAAGCCTTAAAACAGAATCCCCCTCCTCTCAAACCCATTCGGAAAAGTGGATCTGCAAGACCTCTGAGACAGACAGCAGTGGGGTTGTGGGAATTCCTGGGAGAGCTCTGGCTGCATGAACCCTGAGAATTGCAGAGCTCCTGTAGGGCGTTTGCCTCCTGCCTCCAGCCCTCAGCCTGGGGCTCCCAGTCTCAGCAGCTGACAAGCAGGCCAGCCCTGCTCTGTTAAATCTTAGAGCAGGTCAGTCCCAGGGGTGGGAGTTCCCAGCAAGGCCAAAGCCTCTGTCCCGGCTGGCCCGCGGCATAAGCAGGATCGCGTTGCTTGTGACTCGATTGCCCGCAGTGGGTTTTAGTCGCTCCCTCCTCCCACAGCCACGCAGTTCGCAGATACGGCATGTGTGGACATGCGGTGTGTGATGCGCTCAGGCACGCATGCTTCCAAGCTGTCCTCTGCCGCCTCGCTCTGTCTGTGTCCTGATGCTCCATGTCACTGGTTGCTTTGGGTGTGGGGGGACCGGAGGTTACCCGATGGAATAACTCTCTCTTCACCGATTCCTTGTTGTAGACTATTGGGGAGAGTCTTATTACAGTGACCTCATCGACTTGCATCTGGGTGGTATGTATGGCAGCGTCTGTGCTGACACTAACCCCGCTGACACCCTTTCTCCACCCACACTCCCCAGTCCCTGCTCACAAAGACAAGAGAAATCAACCCCATAACCGAATGGCGAAAGCACAGACCCTTTTCCAGCTCAAATCAGAGCAGTGCGCTGATTTCCCCACTGCCCCCTCGTGCTCCAGAGGAAGATCTGACCTAGCTTTCCTGCCTGGGGCCATTTTAATTTTTATAACGAAACTTTGCCCGCCCCACTCCACCAGCCTTGCCTCTGCGTCCTGGTCCCCTAAATACACACGCTGCAACACAACTTTGACTGCTTGTAGGAATCATGTCTGCTAGGGAGCTCACTGCCTGCCACACTTAAGCAAAGAAGCAAAGGTGCCAAGAGCTCAGCCCTCACCGTTTCCATTAGGGTGTGCTCTCAAAGTCTCCCAGAAGCGCTGAGTACGAGGGAAAGGCTTCTCTGTTGTGATTTCTGCCCGGACTCACCAGACCCAAAGCCAAGCTGACAGGTGCCGGTAACAGTGTCCCTCCTTGCTCTGTCCCAGAGCTCACGTTGTACGTCTTTTCAATGAAGACAGGAAAAGCCGAAGGCCACGGTTCTCAAACTGTGGTCCCTGGGCCAGCGGCAGCATCACCTAGGGGGCTTGTTAGAGAGGCACAGGCCCAGACCCTGCCCCCGACCTACAGAATCAGAAACTGGGGTGAGACCTGGTTATCTGCCGTAACAGACTTTCCAGCAGGCTCCAGTGCCCTCTAGAGCGGGAGAACCACTAGCTTAGAGGTTGCAGTGTGTTTGGCGTCTTGCGGTTTGTATTAGTTCAGAGGGATGGCTGACACCTGAGTCTCACGCCTAAGCTTTGGGCAGCTTTTCTCCTGGGCCGCTGCCGTTGCAGTGAGGGGAGTGCTGGGGACTCTGGCTCCTCCTCCCTGTTCCTGTGTCCTTTGGTCTGGTAGTCTGCCCACTTCATCTCCCCATGGAGGCTCCATGCCTAGAGGTGGTCTTCAAATAGCAGAGTCACAAAGATCATTCTCATGTTTTACCCTGACCGCGTTCTTTTAAGAGGGTCACTTCCCGGCCCATTCATTTAAATACCAGTATCATAGTTCTGTGATTCC